TTGACATAAATATATTTCACAGCAGGATAATAACTATAGTTATTAGTTCTAATGTATTGCAGAACATTCTCCTGGGGATATAAGTTATCTGCAAAGTTATTTCACTTCTGATTATTATTGGCAGAATCAGGCTCAGTTTTATAAAACCTAACACTGAGTAACATGTATCTCATAATTGAGTTTGTAGGTTGTCATAAGATGCCAAAAAGCGTAACACTGTCCAGATCAAAGACAGCAATACAAGATATGAGCATACCTTTTCAGATTATATGTTTTTCAGGATCGTTTTGTTTCATATTATACATTGACCTTCATAAGTTTTACTTTGATTTGCCTGGAAGTTCACTTTGCAGGTAGAGTTGAAGTTTGAAATCGGTTCTTACTACATAAAGAGCTTCATGAGTATAGCTTGGAGTGTTTCAGGAGGGTACCCTGACAGTGTTGATACAGTAGGGAGATCATGTGTCAGGAGATAGCTGAATTTAACACTGCTTGAAAATACTGCTTATTTTAACTAAGGCAAGAGTAAAGGAGGAAGGATCACTAAACTGTAAAGCAGTTTCTTATGGAATTCTTTCAAAAAATTCACTGTATTCATATTCAACCTGCACTGAAATCTGAAACTTTTTTTTTTTAAACTTGTTTTACAAATGGTAAAAAGCAACAGAGACAAGTTCCAGGCACTGGAATTGATAGAAGATTCTAGGCGGGAGTTATGCATCTTCCTTGCATGCTTGTTATCATCCAGGCGCAACTTTGAATTGTCTGCATCACAGAGCAGTATCAGGACTCCTTGCAGGAGCTCTGATTACATCAGAGATGCACTGCAGAATTCAAAATACTGCAGAGGACACTGGGGGGGGAAATGACACTTGCAGTGGAATTTTAGCATGTTACTCATTATTTCTATTTCTAAGAAGGGCATCTTTAATAATTCTTTCCCCATTGTCTAGGAGTCTGGCACCCTTCCTGAATTTCAGCTGAAAGTAAGGGCAGTACAGATTTCTAATTCAATTTCTTCACCAGACATAATGGATAAGAATATCTAAGACAGATTGCAAAACAGATTTTTGAAAAGATGTTATATCTTGCTGCACATGCACACCACACCATTTAGAATCACCACGAGCCCTTGCTGTAGGCCAGTTATTCCGTATTACCGTAGTTTCTAGAAGCCAGAACAACGATCACGATTTTATAATGTAGTAAGAGACAGTTCTTGCCCCAGTAACCTTACGAACAAAACAGGGAACGATGCTTAGAGAAGTGGTTTGCCCGAGATGAGAACACATGAT